ATATTAATGTTTATACATCGTTTGATTGAGCAGAATCTCGGCTTTCTAAAAATGAAATATTCGCCGAGAATTTTTTCCTCTGCGAGAAAATATAGCTATTTTCCTGATGCTGTAGGGGTTGGTTCATTGAAACTTTCTGACTTAACTCAGCCAACTCACTGACCCTCTTGCAAAGCACTCAAAACAGCACCAAAAACCGCATTCATCACTAGACAAAAGCAATTTTGCAGCGTAATCATTAAAATCGCTCATTGCACGACATGTTTTTTTTTAATCTCATGACGGACAACAATTAACTGCTTGCAGTTGAGGACTGAATTGTATTGAATTGTGTGTGTGGATAATGAATGTATGCATTCTGTTCTGAGCAGTGATAAATGTCGAGAAGAATAGGTGAAATGATATTATTTCATAGAAACACATCGAAAGATTAGTCAATATCAATTAGTTACAATCAGTTCAATAAATCACCTTTAAGCAACGTATATCAAAAGTACAACCAATCATTATAACAATTTGAGAAATGTCACATAGAAACGCGTAAATCGCATTGGTGAGACGACGCAGATATTTTTGTGTTTGTGGGTTACGTAAAACGACGACAACGACAAAAACGATTATAAACAACAACAACGAAACAACAAATCATGAGAGAAACAAATAAAATTAATCTTTGGGATATCACATCAATGAAATATTTCAAAAAAAAAAAACACACAATAATAATTCAATTCAGTGGAAATAATAATTCAATGAAAATCAATGAAAGAAATCATGACCAATTGAATTCGCGGTTTCATGCGGTCGCCTATTCAACATGAATCGTTTGTTCAAACGGAACCAAAACTGATAAACGAACAATTAATGAGGAGAGAGAGAGTTCAAAAGATCCAAAAGGATTCCTTCCATGCAGTCAATGATAACAATCCGAATTTACAGAAACAACGATTCAAACCTCATTAGAATATAGAGTGATCATTCAGTTTCTTTAATCGTGAATTTGGGTATTTTTCTTATGAAAAAGCTTGGAAGGCATCAATTAAAATTGGTAATTATCATCGATTCGAGCGATATCCAGGAGCAATTTTGAGGGAATGGTCATAATTTTGCGTTGACGCACTTAATATGTAACAGACAACTGAACGGAAACAATAATAATACGACGACAATAATAATAATAATAATAATAATCAGTCAAAATGAAAAAAACTAGATGAATATGTACACAAAAAGAACAAAAAGACGAGTGATATCATCATTATCATCATCATTGATTGATCAATTAAAAAAATGAGAGACGAGAAACAAATTTAAATTTAACGAATCTAAATTTAAATTTGCGCAAATTTGAAAAGTACTGAAGAAAGGACAGCTGAAAATGAGAACTTATTCCAGTAGACATACAAATAAATAAATAGGATATGAAATAATCGATGGATAAAAGGCTTTCTTAGTGAAACAAACTGACGAAAGCGTTATACTGGCATTATCGAGTGTTGTTCCATTTTAGGACATAAATAATTCGAAAGAGTTAACTAATCTAAAGTCAACGATACGGAAAGAAAGACAACACATAGCTGAATACCTAAATACAAGTAAACACAGGAGAGCGTACAGTTGAAAATCACCTCTGACGACAATTTTAACAGATAATTTCATACGAAAATAGCGAACTTACATAGAACAAGGGTATAAGATATCAATTAGGAACTGAGGACTTACATCACAAATCATTATTCCTTAACAAGTTTAAGTATTCGCATTTGTTCGCGATAGAACGATTGATCAATCAGTCTTGCTGATGAATAAATCCATAAAATCCTTGGAACGAACACACTGACACATATTTTGTCATGTTCCGTCAATTCAATACACCTTTTTTCACCGTTGCTAAAATTGAAAATTTCCTCCGTTCATTCTACATCGAAAATGCAATTTCAAAAAAAAGAATCAAATACATTAGTTGGCGAGTATTGTATGAATTGAATGGAATTCTTTCAAATCGCGACGTTCAAAATCAAACGTTCACAAAAATTCAACACAACACAAAAGCAGTAATCCAAATGTCTCACAATTAGATGATAGAAGGGCTTCAAGACCAGCAGAAATAACTGCCTTCTTAACCTTTCTTTCACAGTTTCATGCCAGCTGTGACCAAAATTATTTCGTTCTATCAAAATGTCTAAAGATTTTAATTGCTCTTCATTATAATCGACTGTCTTGTAGAGTTTTCGTTGAATCAATTCCATATGATTACCACAAAAACAGTTGAGAACTGAATGAATCAAGTGATATTAGTGAGTTGATACCTTGTCATCTTCTTCAGCTATCCTTTTCATAACTTTCTCATCGAGATCAACATTCCTCAGGTAGTCCAATCCACCTCGTGGTAAGCCTTCTTCTTTCAAGATTTGATCCAATACATGCCAACAACGTCGATTCAGTAATATCGCATTATACGTCCCCTTCACATCAGGCAATATTCGGGACACATAACTTCAATTTTTCTTTCATCATCACTACACATCATGAGTATTTATAAACAACACTGAACACTCACTACGCACCTCGAATACTTTACCAATGAAAGTTTTTAATTGAACAATTTTCTTATTATACATCGACAAGCGAACACCATTCGTTTTAATATCACAATGGTATTGCTATCAACTTTGGATCATTAATTTGATTAATTAATGCGAATTAATCAATTTGATTCAACCTCAGGAAACATCAATTACCGAAGTTCGCAATGCACAATCCAGTTGCAAACTTATTTCATGTGTAATAAAAATTTCAATGAAAAACAATTGGTGAATTTCATTCAAGCAACACAAAACTGAAGAGTTCTCAGCAAATTCAGATTTCAGTGCAAGCTGAGAGGATGGATAGTTTTATGCATAAACGGATGAAACGGATGTCATTTGGCTGATGATTTAAGTGACGCCATACGAATGAAAAACTCACTCAAATACAGGTAACGCGACCGTATCCATGAATTCAAGTTGAATTTTCGGAACGCAAGCGCGATCACGATCCATCATTTCCAACGGTCGATTACCCATTTGCTTCTCCAAATCGCCTTGCGAGAAAAACTCTTTGTAAATATTCTCCTGAAATATGGTGCACTCACTGAGACGTTATTATATATGCATGCGTTTCATCATCAATTTGAATCCCCTAAAGCAGTTTTTCCAAATGCTTGTTGTCTTTGATCTTGCTGACCTTGTGGCATACCATCATTACTTTATCAAATAGTATTTCAGAGGGATACAACATTTGGTGAATGCCTTTCAAATGAAAGGCTTCCTAAATCATCACTACAAAGATATGAATTGCTCCCTAAGGAAGGAAATATCTCACAATGGGAATCTCTGATTTGTGACTCAATCAAGAAACATTTCAATGTGACATTCAAACGAGCATCTGTTTATGAACGCAAATATCGCAACAGATTTCTTGGAATGAAATGGAAACATCAAAAAGCAGCGATTAACAATGGATTTGTACTTTTTCAACAACATGAATGGCAAAAATGCGCACCTAAAATCTAAAAATTATTGAAGGGGGCAAATTCAAAATGTTATCAAGAACAAGTAACGTGTGAAACCCGGAAGGATGCTTTCATAATGAGGAAAAGGAAATAGCTGAAGAAATCAGCTTCTAAAACTGATTATGTTTCGATCAGCAAAATATAACGTAAATTCGTTACATTTGCACTGAACAGAAATTCAGTCAAATTTCGGATTTTTCAAAGATATTGTTCTTTTCAATTCTCACTCCAATCCTTCTCAACAAATCTATTTATCCCACCAGATTCCATGAAATTTGTTATCAATCAATCGAGAAAACGTTTTTTTTCAGAATCAATTTTCGTCAGAGAGCTTTTCAAGAATATTTACGATGTCAGAGAAGCTGCAAAAAGAACTCGAAATCATATCAACATTGACAAGAACTTACAGCGATCGCTTTACTATTCTTGAAATCTTTACTCTGATCCGATAAATCGGCGGCGGTCATCAGAAGGCACATGAGCAAATAGTGATGCTCATTTGACGTCCTATCGTAGCCGTCTGAAGAAGAACTCAGTAAATTTTAGTTTTTCTGCTGACTTTGCGATCGAAACTTTGGCTTAATTAACATGTCTCCATTGCGTATTACCAAATGCGAATATCACCACATTCATAATCATTTGAGTGAGCGATTTCAACGACGAAATGTTCAGCAATACGAAATGCGATACAACTAGTTGGCGATTCATTGAATTTCATCGGTGAATGCAACGTTTCAATGAGGAGAGTAAAACTGACGAGTTAGATTCAAAAAAATGAACGTTCAAATGAAAAATTGAAAAAAAAAAGAACTGAAAAATGTTCACGTTCAAGTAAATAAAAAAGCAGAAAGAATGAATAAACAAACGATGGAACAAGTATGGCTACAATTGAACGAACCTTCGACCATTTTCTTAATCCTATCAACTTTCCTCAAATGCGCAGCAATATCTGTGGCAAGGATTATTTCTCGGATATTATCCAACACGGTTTGATATTGCTGAAAAGTGATCGATCAATCAAACGATTGCTTTCCTAATCAAATGATAAGATCGAATAAGTGCTCTTTAATGTTGTTACATTGCAGAGTGCAATCAGTTATAATTCGATCCTACTGAATAGATGCAAATTAACATTCAAAAACTGTTCTCAACGATGGAATTAAACGCAAGAGAGTGAATCTGAATCAAATACAAAACCTGTCTATTGAGTTGATCAAATATATTACATTCTTCCATACTCAGAATTGAGACCGTTTGCGCAAAATGATGTCTCTCAAGTACTGAACCCTCACTGCTGTACAGCTGAGCCAATGGGGTTTTCTGAAACCCTTCATATTAATCCACTTATCCATGAGATTCATCTCATGTTAATTACTCATTCTTTTCTTGTTATTGAAATATTTTGGTCAACTTCTTAATTTTCTTAGACCACTCGAACATCACGTTCGCAATGAGTAATATTCCTGTTTATTACTGGCTATTCCTCACAAATGCGATGAATATTTTCAGATCGTAAAATTCATTTCAATAGAATTCAAAATTCTTTTGATATATTATAACACCCATAAACTGGTTAATTTGTTGTGATGTCATATTCACATGGTGTTTAGAGGACAGACTGAAACTGTAGAACAAATATAATAATGAGACGACGACTGATAATTGGTATCATTATCAAAATATCTATACTGTTAGACGAAGTTTTATGATTGTTTACACATTGACGATGTGTACTTGAACGAAGGAATTTGGCCAATACAAAAAGAAACGTTGCTGATTGATTAAAAAATCTAAGACTATTGAAAGCGTGATATAAAACGATGGTGGATTGGATTTCGAATAACAACTGAAAGAGCTTTTGAAATATGCGCGAAATGTGCTTTCAGCTTGTCACCAAATAATTAAATCTAAAGAACGAATGTGTTGAATGCGTGATTGCGACTAGNGATCCGTCAATATGAGGATCACCCCAGAACAAATTCGAAAAAAAAAACCACGAAACAATCCCTCTTGAGCAACTGAACAAACTAGAATTGGTACAAGTGCGATTGACAGGCGTAAGTGATGTTTGATCATTACTATAAGTACGTACTCTTAGTGCTGTTTTTACGCTTACTATGATACAATAAATCATACGTAATCTATCAAATAAACTCTTATCGCCGTCATCAGACCAAAGTACTTCAGTCAAACACTCTTAACTATTTGCCAACAACAAAAAGATTTATTATGTCATTATTTTATACATTCTTATATGACTAAGCATGAATATTTTGGATTGTTCACGTGATGAATTCATCATGTCAAGCATTCATTAGGTGGATCGCTCGTAGAACAGCTGTTCGAGAGGGAAATGCGCGATGAGTGTGTAGTTAAAGGACGATGATTAGCAATTACCGTTAAGGATGAAATCGAACGTCAAAAACAACTGACCGACTGCAACTGAAAGGCATTTGTGGTGCCTCTGTGATCGATGTCGTGACAAAGGCATGCCACAAACAACGAGAGCCGCTCCAGATCAGTTAAAGCGTTTCGTACAGCTGCCGTTCGAACCAACAAAAAACAAAAATGCCCTACAGCGAATGCATGAGACCAATTATGGTAAGGAACGTCCCGATATCCTTTTTGTACCATCAACAGAAATCGAGCCAACGTTCGGCGACGTAGCCGAAATTGCTCAATGAACTGTAATTCCTGAAAAATTCTCCAAACTTGAAGCGGCGTAAAAATTGANGAAGACTAAAATGACGTGCAGATCGATGACAGAAGAAATCACGATGAAGATGAAAAAGCGAACCTTGAACATTGATAATGATGCTTCAATGTAAGTGTCACCAGCACCAATTGAGCGAGGAATGAAAAAGAACTGTGTAAAATCTGGATGGAACGATGTGGATGCGGGAATATCGCGAACTGTGAAGCGCAGTATATCTTCAGGTGCTATCTGAACGTGAATTCCTAATACAATTGCAAAATCACTGTCACTAAGCCTTTAATCATTGAACTTAAACGATACTGGAAATAAGAGCCGATCAGAACACCCCCCAAAAAAACTTACGGATAGCGTTGATCCTTGCACAAGAAGCTCGGCGGCCATATGAGAGCGCCGATGCGCTTCTTGCAGTTTGCGATAAAGGAGACACTGAAATTTGCATTGATCATTGGTGATTGATTGGCTGATGGATTTATGTGACATTCACAGATATACACATCAGAAGTAGGTCTTTAAACTGCACAACAAAGAATTGAATGGTTCAATTACAGAAAGTTTATCAAAAAAATGATTAAATAGTGAACATAGAATCAGATTCAAGTACAATTGAAGTGCAATAGCTGCAGAAACAATTGAGAAATGATAAAGTAATGAAACGAACATGCGATATGCTTATAGCACAATATACAGCGAAGGTTGTAGCGATCTGTTCATCGTGACGTGTGAATGCTTGCTTCCCGATTTTGTTACAAAGTTCAGCCACTCCAACAAGATTGCCTAGAATTGCATCGTTTTGATTAAGTGAACATAAAATTATCAATCATAATGATAGAGATAAATGATACGATTATTATGATTATCAGAATGATCACAATAATTTATGATGACGATCAAATGATATAGCAATTGTCAAATAAGGCATTGCTTGAATAGAATTCTTGCCACTGTTCTCACTATACCCCATTCATGTTCTCAAACAAAAAGATATGCCACTGCATATGATGACTATAATTAATGATCCGCACAAAATTCACGAGACAACCAAAATAAAAACAATTATTCACCATCGATCAAAAATGTGATCGAATTAAAAAGCACTAAGATGTGATGTCATCGTCAAGAAGAACAATAAAAAAGCAGATGATAAGAAACTATAATTGATAAGCAAAATGGCGTGGCTGCTGTTGAAAGTCCTCAATTTTGATAATAATTAGAGATAATTAGAGCGTTTAGCTAACATCTGAAGAGGAATATCTGGTGACCAGTTGTCTTTAGGAATTGAACAGGATATGAAATATAATGATAGAGGTCAAAAATCCCATTGGTGAAAACAACGGAAAACCAAGAGGAAACGAGTGAATAAACAAAATTGAATGTGACAATTCGAGGAAGTAGATAACGGAAAAATGGATTGATGAAAGAAATGTCGTTTGTTAAAATGGAATGAAAGACATTTCAATTTTTGAACTCATCAGAATGAGTACAAAACTAGGAATCACTCAAACAGAAGTGAAAACAATCCTGAGTCACGTTCGAATTTGACTCATCCGCAAATATTGACTGTACTTAGACGTACGCTTACTTCATATGAACACAATCAAATAGTAAAGTTTCAAGATTGGACAACGAGAGCAGTGAATGATCAAGATGGATTACATACGGTAAGCAAGCGAGATAAAACGCTGAATTACTAGAACAACTAACTGGTGAAACTAAAATTCCCTTCTAATCATCAATCAAGAACGAAACGAACGAATTTTTATTATTCAAGGCTTATAGACCAATCTCAAACTTGCAACACCTAACACGGAATATTCCAAAAAAGGTCCCCTATATGCGTGGTGATTGAAAATGTAGAATACTGATGAGATTTGTCACAAATTTTAGTCGTGGATTTCCTACGCTCCGATGCCGCACTATAATTTGATGTATAGCTGGGAAACCGAATCATAAGTTTGCGAATTATTTGATGAATTGAATATTCGGATGATGAATAATAATTTGATCTAGTAGTTGGATGTCGTCACATAGTGTTGCATTAAACAAGGTAACGAAATAGTGAATGGATGAAATGTGGCAAAAACGATCAAAGTTTTGATGATTACTGAAAAT